GAGACTTTGATACACATATATTTATTAGTGGTATAAATTGTGTAATGAATACAAGAATAAAGTTATTGAACAAATTAACGGCGAATATGTGGTCTATAAATATGTTTGATATTTGGATATTTCATAATACGATAAATGAAGGCATGGCTCGAGAAAAATCGATGAATGATCAGAGGATGAGAGAAAATAGGCGCTACGCTCTGTCACTAAAGTTCTGACCCATACATCGATCGGTGCATGTCTTGTACCACAACATCGCCCGTTCCTATCATGTATTGTACCACTTATTCGCACACTGTATGCCACTCTGTATGGCACACAGTATAGCACACATCAAATTTCTAATTAACCTTTATTTCTCTTTTTGTGTTTCAAATATTTCTAAAAAGTAATTACTTATATTTTTTACCAATAGTTTCTATATTTTCTTGGTTATAATATTTATTGATTATATTCAGAATTAAACTGCATTTAATTTTAAAAGTCAAGAATCAAGAATTAGTCAAAATATTATTTGAAATTTTAAAGTATTTATGTTATAAGAGAAATATCCATTTAAATAACTTTAAAAAAAACAGAAAATGTGTTCAAACCATGCAAATTTAGCATTGGTAACATTACTCAAAATTGATTAAATTCTTAAATTAACAGTGTTTGATTTAGCCTCTAAATTTTAAAGCACTAAAGTAATATAAAATTACTTAAGTTGTAACTTTAACAAGCACAGTTAATAATCACTAAAATTTATAAAAGATTATAAAGAAACATGAAATAACAGGATGTCCTCATGAAATGGTGAAACAATATTTTTATATTTGTATTAAATTCTATAATAATTTGATAATTTTATAATAATTCTATAATAAGTTAAAAATAAGATAAAATAAAATGCATTTATTTTAATATACATGGTCATATTAAATCACCTTACTTAAAATTTTTTAATAATTATAACGTTTTTACAAAAATATTGGTAGTTCTCGTCAAGATCATTTTGTTCTGATCAAATTAATATTAATAGTATTCAAAATAAGTATAATTTTATATAAATTGGTGATTTTTTGAAAACAAATAAAAACATTAAATTAAAGAGAGTTTATATTATAATGTAGTGTAGATATGATAATATTGACAGCATAATTAAACCACAGGTTAATTTAAACAGGTTAATTTAACCATAATTTTATAATTAAATATCTCAAAGCAAGTAAAATGAATAAGTTAATCATAAAATCATATAATGGTAACAGTGTTGATGAATGGCTCCTAATATGAGTGTTGTGTTGTGTATTATATGCAATGAGTGAGTGATTGAGTGCTTGTATTGCAGTGTTTATACTGTTTATAGTGTTAGTCAACCAATGGGTGTGACGTTCAGCACAACTGGCCTTTAAATTCAGTCCAATTGTCTCTACATTTGACACCAAAACACACATCCAATACATCCAATGGCCGGACGTTTGCCAGCGATTGTCATCGACAACGGCACCGGGTATGCACTCGCCATCACAGCCATCACATGACATGCACTCACACTCCCTATGCAATGACAGGTACACCAAATTGGGTTACGCCGGCAATCGTGAGCCGCAGTTCATAATCCCGTCGGCCATTGCCATCAAAGAGGCGCCCAATGTTGGCGATCAGGCCTCCAGACGACTCGCCAGAGGTAT